GATCGTGAGCCTAAGTTCATTCGACCGTTCTTGAGTTGCAAGGGTGCCAAGCCTTGACCACCGCTCGCCACCTCCATTACACTTTCTTTTTCCCCCGCCTCCCTCTCAAAACATCCATCAACGCCCCCACCGCCAATCTCCTCTCACCATCCTTCCCAGCCTTGTCCCTCCGACTAGGCCGACATGCGCTATCCCAGAAAGACAACAACAAAGAACACATGCCCCATGCTCATTCGCCATCGCCCACCACGCTCTCCTTCCTCATCCCGGTTTATCGCTGAAGACGACATACGAAGATGAAGACACATGCGCGCCAACTGTGCGTGTGCGTAATCCATCAACATCCATCAACCCAAGAATCTTACACCCTGCCCCCACCGACGATCCGCAACACCAAGGCCTCCCCCACCATTACGCAAATTCCCAACAGGAGAGGAGCGCGCTACAACAGTATGTCACTCAGCTGTGGGATACAACCACAGGGCAGCCAGTCGGTGAACCCTTGAAGGGGCACACTGATTGGGTTACCTCAGTCCGTTCTTGCCGGATGGCGCCCACATCGTGACTGGCTCAGACGATAGCACTGCCTGGCTGTAGGCGAGGCAGCTTGTGCTACCATAGTGCGCCGACTCAGTCAGATCATTCAGTGTCTGTAGCAGCCATCCATGTATTCCCTAATCTGTTATCACTCGCACACTTGTGCCCAACCCTGTTTCTTTTTCGTGTCTGCAATCACACTGATCCCCATTCGCATGGGGTGCGACATCCTCTACTGTTCAACCCATTCCTTAAATGACTCAGACGACATGGGCATTACATATGTAGAGAACTTGGCTCACACCAGAAAGGAGGCATCAAGCAGATAGCGCATCGGGGCTGAGCAAAGGCGAAGATGAATTACGCAATGGCTTTGTGAAGGAATGTCTTGCCAGTTTCTAACCAGAAGAGCAGCAAGGTCTCACTCCCTGAGCGAGGCGAGTCACAGTAATGAGTGCATCAACTTGAAATTACAGGGTAACTAGAGTACATTTGGCTATGAACATGAGTCAGATGCAAGTGTGAATGTACATTGTAACGCAGATATGAGAGGGGGAAATTTCTGAATGTTGGATTGGAGTCAGTGGCGTCCTGTTCTCTTCTGCAGTCCATGTGTTGGCTGGGCTTGTGTTGGGGTTACCTGGTGTGCTGACTCGCTGTTATTAGGCACTGAATCAGGATGCGCATGAGCTGTAGGCAAAATGCATGTGTGGGAGAAAATTGGTACCATTTGTGCCGTCCACACGGTTACTGGTCTCAGTCCGAACATTATCTTCGGCGCTGCGATGGTTGCCTCCGTTCCCTACATCAGGAGGATGCTCCTCAGAATCAAAAAACCCGTCCATGTCATCTTCGCTGTCGTCAAATGCGCCAGGTTGTACATCCCTCCTGGCCCTGGAGCGCCCGTGTTGCCGGAGTCCGGGAGTCTCTCTGAGTATTTAGCTATATAAATAGATGATAATGAAAGAGCAGCTTACACCTTCCAAAGCCGGAGTGTTTCTTCTACCCATTCCTTGTTGCTGTTTCCTTCAAACATTTCGGCCACTTTATCATAGAGATCCACAAGGCTGAGATCTTCAATTTCCTGACACCACACAGTTGCGGAACTAAGCTGGAAGTACGCCTTAAAGAGGTAACGGTCAGTGCTCAGTGCTCAATGTAAGCACGTGAATTTTATGCTCAGGCTTACCTGTACGGCTGCATATGCAATCGCTCGTGGTAATGGTGACGACATTCCGTGAATTCGGCCTTTGGGAGTCTTGGTACCTCTGCGAGCATTGGGGGACAGGGCACTGGACGGTCCTGTGAATATATGATGGAAAACCTGCCCAAGTTTTGTAAAATGGTATTCAACCAACAAGAATGAGAAAAGAAAACATACGCGTTTGAGGTAATATCCCTGAAGGCAACCTCGGCTTTTCCTGGCGGAATCAAACACAGACTGATCATACAGGAAAGCCGGAAGTTTTGCGGCCGTGATCTTGATTTGGCCTTCCCTCACCCTTTCCATAAAGGAGCTAAGGGTGTAACGTTACACAAGATCAAATATAATAAAATGAGTGCAACGAACTGGGGATCTTGGTCAAACATATCCAACATCCGCATTGGGCACAACAGCCGCGCAGTCTGAGGATGATTCCATCCACGAGCCATCTTGCCCTGCTGCTTGACCAGAGGGGGATTGAACTGGTCAGACCCAGGGTTTTTAAGCATGTAGACCAGTCCCTCTCGCATTAGACTTCCAGTATCATCGGATCGGGCGTCATTGGCTGCAGAGGAAAGCTGGCTAGCTGTTAGACACATTAAAATTGAGAATGATTTATTGCATTACCGCATGAATGAAGTTGTCCATTGCTGATGGAACTTTCTCAAATCCTGATATGACATCGCTGAACGTTGGCACAAGCTTCACAAGTGCGTCATATTGCTCGCATGACTTCTGGCGACTGCGCAGCAAAAATATCAGTGTGTGAACTAGGAGTAGCTCAGGCTGCTGCAGACTCACCTATTTACATTTTCACATTGACCTGGGGCACTATTCCCCTGCAATTCGGCAAACTCAGCTTCCATACCATCATATAAGACTTTCTCCAGCACGACAAATGGGTCAATTGCAAGAGGGAACCATCGAGCCGCTCGTAAATATGGTCCAATCGGACCGCTGTTTCATAGTGAGACAATGTATACTACCGTTTTGTCAAATGTACAATGCAGTACTTACATGATCTTTCTTTTGCGGCCAGCTTTCACACCAGAGTTTAGGTTCTCAAGTAAGTCTTGAAAATGGCTTGACATTTCTAATGTGTTGGATGGTTCAGATGACATTGTGGGTTGGGTATGCGGATGCTCAGTCTCTGAATGATGGTGCCAGTGTTAGTGGGTCACGGTGTTGAACAGATGATGGATGATTCGATGATCCGGCCAGGCCATACTCAGGCTATTGTCTCCGACCATGACGTCACATCCACATCAAAACATTATCAAGGAGTCCTCAGGCTATACTTCCGGCGCCCAGCTTCTGGTCTATGCTAGCACGGTACTATACCTGCTTGTTTTTGCTTTTGTTCTTCATGATCTTCACATGTAGGGGTTGCAGTCGAGAGTTTGACATTCGCAGGGCTCTCAGTAACCACAAACAATTTTGTTCGAGCAAAATAACCGATGCTGCTGCTACTTCTCTAGGAAAGAGAAGACGTGATCAAGAAGCTCAGCAAGCAGCAAAAGTACGTCGTCAGGAGGAAGAAGAAGCAGCACTCAGGGCTCGCCAGGAGATACATGAAAGCTTTGCTGAACCAGAGTCACTGCTAGCAGTACGTTCACTTGTTCTTCATATGGTTGTGAGTTTTGAGGTTTTGTCCAGGACTCACGCCGAACATCTCCAACACCCCCTGCATATCGTTCTTCAGGTTTACCAAACCGACGCCGTCGCTTACCCAAAAGATTCCGCGATGATATGCCACCTATCCCCGTGGTAGAGCTGCCTTCAACCTTGGACGATGTGAATGCAGGTCTGGTAGAACTCAATTCCCAGGTCCCAATTCCCAGCCAACCATTCATCATCACCCCACGAGATCACTATGGTCTCTATCGCCGATATGTGCATTCCCCACCATCATTCAGCCCTGATAACCTTACATCTGTGGCACATTTTGCTGATTCACCGACATTCATCAAGAGTCAAGACGAACTTAGGGCTCGACCTTGGTGGTCAGGATTCGGCGGATCCATACAGTCTGCTCAGACCCATTACTTCACTCCATTCCTCAATGCAACGACATTTCGTCTTATGCATTGGTTTTACAGCGGCTCCGTTACAAAATCTTTGCTTGAGTTGGATCGCCTTGTACAGGAAGTCCTTCTGGCAGAGGACTTCGACCAAGCCCATCTGAAAGAGTTTCGTGCCTTGAAGGAAAATCATCGCCTGGACAGCTATCAGGACGCCTCTGAAGACATTCATTCATCATTTTCTGCTTCAGACGGCTGGATGGAAACCAGTGTGAAGATCCATATTCCAGCTGATGGAGTCCAACATGCATCTGAGGACACAGCCCCAGAGTTCGATATTCCTGGCCTATTCTATTGACGGCCTCTCGAAGTCATTAAAACGGCATTTCGTGAATCAGCGGCCGAACAGTTCCATCTCACCCCATTCGAAACATTTTATCAGCCCTCTGATGATGTCCCTGCAGAAAAGACCTACGGAGAAGTCTATAGTTCACCTGCAATGCTCGATGAACATGAGAAAATCTGTTCACAACCCCGAGAGGGCAACTGCACCCTTGAGACTGTAGTTGCAGCGGTGATGCTCTGGTCCGACTCAACTCATCTAGCAAGCTTTGGAACCGCTTCCCTGTGGCCTATTTATATGTTCCTGGGGAATCAATCAAAGTATGCGCGAGCTAAGCCAACAGCATTCGCGGCCCACCATCTAGCTTATATTCCCAAGGCATGCGCTCAATCCTTACTTTAATTTATTCTTGCCTAACGGATTTCTGACAGCTTACAGATGCTCTTCAAGACTCCTATCGACATATTTTCCAGAAGACCATGACTTCAGAAGTTCTGAGTCATTGTCGGCACGAGTTGATGCAAGCAATCTGGATGTTGCTCCTTGACGACGACTTCATGCATGCATACGAGTTTGGGTTAGTCATAGAATGTCTGGATGGGATCTTCCGCAGAGTATTCCCTCGTCTTTTCACGTATGCAGCTGATTATCCGGAAAAGTAAGGATCATATAATTACCCAGTCTCTGTTTCATCTCAGTGCTGAATTTTTCCAGGACACTTCTTGCGTCAATCAAATTTCTTGCGCAGTGCCCGTGTCCAAGGTGTCTGATCCCCAAGATTCAGATCGGTGGCCTCGGAAGCAAGGCTGACAGACGCTGGCGGGAGAACAGGGTCCGTGAAGATGGCCATACAATATGGACCACGATCAGACAGGTTCGGGAGTGGTTGTATGTCAAGGGCACCAATATTACAAGCGTTTTTGTCAAGTGGATGCTTGTACCCGAGTCTCTTGTTCCAACTGTGGTACGTTGGTCACAGCATTTTTTTTTACCTTCCTGATTCCAGATTTACCTAGAATGCATTCTCAACTCGGTTCGCACGCTTTGGGTTCAACTTCTACTCCATGTTCGTCCCGGATTTGCTCCATGAGTTTGAGTTAGGAGTTTGGAAGGCCGCTTTTACACATCTGATCCGCATTCTTTACGCATATGGCCATGACACAATAACAACGCTGAACAAACGGTATGAGTTCCTACTTAACTTAATAGAATTTCTTGCATTGATTCATCGACAGCTATCGACAAGTTCCCACGTTTGGCAGAGGTACAATCCGCAAATTCAGTGGAAACGCTTCTGGCATGAAGAAGCTGGCAGGGCGGGATTTCGAGGATCTTTTACAGGTACATTTTTGGACAGTGGTGCTGGTCGCGCAAAGTACTGATTGAGAGATTTGCTAGTGTGCCATTCCCGTATTTGACCGTCTCCTACCAGAACCATTCAATGCTCTTATCCTCGATCTCCTCTTTGAATTAGCCACCTGGCATGGATTGGCAAAGTTGCGCCTGCACACCGACACTACACTATTGTTCCTTGACACATCAACTACTCGACTAGGCAAGATTTTGAGGCGTTTTGCCAGCGAAACAAAGGAGGCATTTGACACCCGAGATCTTCCCAGTGAAGAAGCAGCTCGCGGACGCCGCAAAGCACGAAAAGCTCCCCAAGGTCAACCACAAAGTACGGAGAACTCAGCAAAACAACACCCTCAGGGTCGCTTGAAGCACAGGACGTTCAATCTGCAAACTTACAAGCTTCACGCACTTGGTGACTACGTCAGTGCTATCAAACAGTTTGGGACCACAGACAACTTTTCTACCATGTTGGTACGTATTGGCATGCTTCACTGTAGAAATTGGCTTGGCACTAATATTAGTTCATAGGGTGAACTCGAGCACAGGCGTGTCAAACGCTTTTATCCAAGAGTGAGCAAGTCTCGATTTACGTCTGGTATCGCAAAGCAACAGCAACGGGAGAGAATCCTCTTCAGGATGGCAGAGCGAATTCCTGTGGACAAGTCCAGAAAGAGGAAATCCATGGCACTGGGAAGCAGAGAGGTGATGAAAGCTGACGCTGCCAACATGCCATCCTTGCGCTTTGAAGATTCAGAACAACTACCATACACTGATCCTCGGGCGCACTACCATATTTCCAGTGGAGTACGCCACTACTTGAGACTTTCTCAATGGTTGGGGAAGAATGAAAGTGATCCTGCCTTCGTAGTGAGTACCGCTACTGACTTCAATTTGCATTTCACAATGCTCAGACACATTAAAAAAAAATTAGGGCTTTCTTCCCCGATTAAAAGATCATATCCTGGCACGATTACTAAAGCACAATTACGACGGCGATGAATCTCCCTTCTCCTCTGCTGAACGCAGCAGACTGACATTTATCAATGATCGTATCTATCGACACAAGGTAATCCGAATTAATTACACTACCTATGATCTGCGACGAGATCAAGACTCACTCAACTCTCGAACGCATGCAGACATCATGGTCTTGTCTCACGAGGAAGACAACGACTCGGAGCCCAATGGTCATCCTTACTGGTATGCCAGAATTATTGGTGTTTTTCACGCACTTGTCCATTATCGGGATCTCACCACCAACTCGTCATCATATGATCCAGTGCAAGTCGACTTTGCATGGGTACGTTGGTTTGGCCGTGATCTCAGCCACCGCTCAGGCTGGAAAGTGAAACGGTTACATCGACTCGGCTTCATCCCTAGCGAAGATCCCGGAGCATTTGGGTTCATTGATCCCAAAAATATCATCCGGGGAATCCATCTTGTTCCAGCTTTTGCTTCTGGCCATACCTCGGAATATCTGCCTCCATTAGTGTTGCCGCAGCTCTGGCTTGAGGCCGGCTTTAGCCGCGAGCGGAGCTACAATTAGGCTAGCTGTGTACCAAATTAAGCTTACATAATATATGGCTCGGTCCGGTCATTTGAGCCTAGTGTTGGCGTGGCTCCGGCTTATTGCTGGTTTAAGCCGGGGCCATACATGTGACTTCGGGCTTATTTAATTTAAGCTTTGACTCAGCTCGAGAACCCCAGCCAAGTCAATTTGGGGGCTTAAATATTTATTTTAAACTATAGATTAAAAATAGAATTTAATTTAGAACTATCGAAGATCAAACTACCTACGCATGATCGATAATCACACGAGCGCTAATGGCCCCCCAAGATCCAGTGAGTCGTTATTTCGTTAGCGTTCGATCTAAAACTAAAGTAAATCAGGAATTATACTGCGCTTCTCCCCCACGGCAGCTACGCGAGCCATCCGTGACGAAGAAACGCTGCAAAAGGGCGCGGGTCCCGTGGAGATCGAGGTGGCGGCGTTGGGTGTTGAAGATGCTTGGTCGGGAAGGCGGTAGCGGAGAGTTCTTGTAGCGCCGTCGAGCCGCGTGAGCATCGTCTACAAAATCCCCTACCATGAAACTCATAGTCCGCTCTCCGTGCCTTCCTCGCCTCGTTCTCTTCTATCGTCCATTCCCAATTCTTCTGCCGCTCCACATCCTCTCCCCGATCCTCCGCTTCAGCATGTGTGCGCAGCACCTCTGCAAGTTTCCGTTGTCGTTCTAGCCGTGGACACGCTGGAGGTGGCGGGTGAAAATGACCGTTTGAAGGGAGCGCCAGCCTTCTTGGTGAAAAAGTGGAGATGATGGAGGTAGCTTGGAAGTTGGGGAGTAAGAGGGTGCGGCGGCGGCATAGAAAGGATTAATGTCACATGGTTAGCAGTAACATGGAGCGTATTGATATCGTGCTCACCAAGGATGGGTGACTGATCCGCAACCGTCATACCAGCAGCTTGCTCGAGATACGAACCACCATCAGATAAGCCGTCCCATATCAGCGTCCTCCATAGCTAGGCAGTTTCTTTTTGAGGTGCTCTCTAATATCCTTGATGAGCCGTCTCATGCTCAGAAGATGGATTACTATACCGAGTGTATATGGCACCGGTGGCATATGGATGGTTGGGCATGCTCGTGAGTTCGGGATCATGGCTGGAGTGATCGTCGACAGGAGGGGGGGACGAAAGTGCGATACTGACCCCTTCCCCGCTTGCTGTAGTAGGGGCTGGAGAAATCCCTATGATGATGATGCTTTCCTCACCAGCTCCGTTGTGCGAACCACCCGCAGGGTCACTCAAATGAATAACGTTGGTTTCCTCTGTCGCTGGTCCCAGGGCTGGTCTCTTGTCAACAGGTGTGCCGAGTAAATCACTCAGATCTCCGCAAGGTGCGCATGCTTTAAGCAGTGCAGTTTTGCCCTAGGACTCGTTGCGGACATGGCGAGTGCTTTGAGGATCCGAGAGCGACTTTTGTGAATTGGATTTACCAAGGGAGTGAGATTGTGAGCCCGTGAATGAGTACGAACTAGAGCGCCCGCGAGAATTTGAATGAGTTTGGGAATGAGAATGGGAATGAGATCGGGAGTGCGAAGAACGTGCAGCGTTGACGGCGGGAGCAATGCTCTGAGCTCCTAGGAGCGTGCATGCAGCCAGATATTCTAGGGTCGTGCTGCCCTCTTGCTTGTGCCCAGGACGACTATGACTTCGTGACAATGACCTGGCACGAGCGCGGGAGAGGGAGCGGGTTCGGCTGTTCCCAAAAGAATGCGACGCCTGGTGTTGCCACCGTTTTCGTTGTGCTTCTAGAACCTCGCCTTCTTCAAGAACTCTGCAGAAGCACTTGGTTACTAGATAACTACCTACAAAAAATGTAGCTTACTGGGTCAACGATGGCACAGAGGCTGACGGACGGAGTTCCTGTTGCACAGTCGATGGGCCCGGTACAGATTCATCTTCCTTGGGGCTTGTGTTCCGAACTGGGTCTGGATCTGGATCTGGGCGTTGTTGAGGCGTAGACGCAGTACGAGGTCTGCCAGATATAGAGGGGCCAGACAGGATATCAACGGCCGACCTGGATTTCAACAAAACATGGTGTTCCTTCCGTACATCATGTGTAGCTGACAACACTTGTGGTCTCCCGCCACGTATAGCAGGACTGAGGCGCGGTGATGCACCCTCAGCGACAGGTGTGATTGGTGGACTGATGATTCGTCCGCTACTTCCTCCGTATTGCCCATGTGCGCGCTCAGACCTCAGGCACGGACGTGGAAAGAATAACGCGTCACACCATGTCTCGGGGGATAGCCAGCGATCGACACCTGATACTGGTGGCGTTGATTTTGTGCTCTGTTGCGAAGGCTGCTTGCTGTGTGATGTGGCGGAAAGGTTCGGGGTGGAGACAGAGCCGTCGAGGATGCGACCGTGTCGGGTCGATGGCACTGAATCTGCAGGTGTTGGATATTCAGGGGATGGCGTGAGGACCAAGACAAAAGTGAAGACGCACGCCAAGATATTCATGCAAGGGGAGAACCAAACGAAAAACAACTGGTACCATCGAGTCTCGAGACGTCCCTCTGCTGGCACCGGCGCGTTTCGTGCGGTCAAGTAAAAGGATGAAACTGCTGAGAGAAGGGGAAATTTAGTTGAGGACGTACGTGTGTGTATTTAAATTCCACTGGCAGCTGACGCGTCGACAATGAGACCGGACAACATGATGATATATCCAATGCCGCCATAGATCAGGCTGAGTATGGTGAGGGACTTACACTCGTATCAGCCGTTCTACTCTAATAACAATGGTTTAACAATCATAAAGATGGGAGAAAAAAAGGCGCACCTAGTACTGAGAGGATTATAGCGCAGAAGATGCATGGTAGATACCGTCACCTTCACGATGTCATAAATCATCAGAGCGAGGTGACACTCAGCAAATGAAAGCGGTGAAAGAAAGACAGTCAAGCAAAGAGAGAATATATAGTTGAAAATTGAAATCATAATACCACGCGAGAGACATTGCGAAGTAGCGCAAAGAAGAAACAAAGAGTAAAAGCAAACATCACATGTCGTAGGTAATAGGAGTATCATCAATATCATCACACTCCTCCTCTGCAATAGCTCTGAGGAGGGTGTCATAAACATCACCTGTCATTCCGCTGCTGGAAAATGTCAAAAGAGTGTTAGTCTCCTCTCCCTCGCCCAACGCCTGATACTCCATAGCCTTTTGCGACGCGGCCCAACCTTTCGTAAAGTTAAGTCGTTCTTTTTTCACGAGAAACTTTACCACCTGCAGGGCCTCCATCAGGACCGGGCTCATGCGATTACGTTTCTTCGTGTCCGTCTCACTACTGGACGAAAATACTCGCTCGCATGGAACGGCAGATGCCTGTATAGGGAGGTAGTCCATCGCGATGCCATAAAGCGTCGGAAATAAGGTCTCCGAGACCTGGTGAACACCTCATGGTCAATAAATATTTTAATTGTAGAGATATGGGACGCTTACCATCCAGAACCCAAGTATGTCTGTTCCCTTGGGGCTGAGATTAGCCGTAGAGTAGGCCTCGAATTCTTGCTCGACTGTTTGGGCGCCGCTGTTGTGACATGGCAGGACGCCAATGTCAGGAAGATTATAAAGACGGGAGCCTAGTGAGGGCAGTTGTCGCTGAGGTCTTACTTCATTAGCTGGAGGCGCGACGGGTGCTGAGCTGTTCGTGGTTCGTTTTGATGCATCTGTGTGTGCTAATATTAGATCAAAGTTGCGTTGTTATTGGTTTGACAGACATACCAGATCGATGATATGTTTCTCTACATCTTTAACCAGTTGTTCCGCCCAACGACTCCGAACCCATGACATTCGGACTGCAGGATCAACAACTATAAATGTAATCGTGAGCAACCAAATATTTAAAAAAGATACCAGACTCACGCATAGCGACTGCATAGGCATTTGTGGCGCCCAGCCTGTCGTCATACTTATCTGCCCAAATCAAACCTATCTCAACAAGAGGGCCGCAGTGTGGGACGTGTTTTGGCCAAAGAAGTCCACCGCTCGATCAACGTTTCGAATGCCGGGTATGTACCACTTAGCATGGGAGTGCGTTCGCCCGACATGGATTGTTGGGCAGCGTGGGGCGCCTAGTATAGAATGATCAGATGGACCGGAAGTTTGAAGATACTAAAACTAACCTCTAGGATTACTTCGACATCCTGTAGGAACTGCCACTCCATCGGACTCAAACTTGAACTTGCTGATGGAGCGCTGAGTGGGAGAGTCGAAAAATAAATTTACTGCCTGGGTAAAATATTAGCTTATGACAAATTTCATGCGTGATGCCTTACCTGGTGAAGGGCTCGTAAACGGGTGAGCATGATGTAGACTGAATCCCAACGGGTTGCCTCATCAAGCAGGAGTTCGACAACAGGGAAGGCGTAGTGTCCCTTGTCCCGCGTCATCTTGGAACCCTCCTTCTCGTTACCTGGATGATCGTGTCCCTGAAAGAATTACGGTCCGCTGGTGTTGGACGCGCCGGAAACCGTGCGCACAAAGGTCCTAGCTCTGCTGATAGCTTTCCCTGTCACCGCTTCTAGGTACTCCGCCCTTGATGATCGTGCGGATCCGCCGACTACCCAACGTTCATTCACGAGCGAAAAGTCGGCATTGTGGTATCATCAATAATATGCTTGACACATATATTGATGATATGCGGGGAAGCATGGGATTCTGTGCTCGGATGGGGGTGAAAATCAACACCACGGCACCTCCAGTTTCTCCAAAAGCGCTCGCATGGAAACCTGGTTGCATGCGGCGTTGTCTAAGGTAAAATGACCAGTCTAAACAAAGTCAGAGCGTGTTATACGGTACAATTAAACACTGACCTTTTAGTCACAGCGGCGCGATCAAGAAGATGCAAGAGGACTCCTGCCAGGGAATTCGCCAGTGTGACTGCCTGGAATGTGATGGAATCCAATAAGCGCAGCCCTCAGAACGAGCATGGAACTGTGGTCGGCCTTAGCAATCCAATGAGCAGTAAGTGCCATGAATGGCGAATGTTAGAATCCGACCAGAGGTCAGATGTGAATGCGACCTTTCCCTGGGCGGCCTAAAAAAATATAAGGCGCTTTGTAGGGGTCTTGACAGCTGTAGACTTACCGCAAGATCCCTCTTCAAACGCATTGAAGTATTCGTGAAAAGCGTCGATAACTAACTCGCGAACTTTGGTACGGTGAAATATGTCGCTCTCGGTCACCGATGGCCGCAGAAGACGGATCAAGACGACGAAATTCCGGACATTCGATGATATTTATCGCCTGAGGACAATTATTAAACATTGTGTGTAGAAAGTATACATTGACTCACCTGGTCGTCCGCAATGATAAATTTGACAATCTGTTTGTGCATTTCGTCCAGACTAAATGCAGGCAATGCGTCGTCTGGGACTGACAGGCTAGTTCCGGGGAGTGGGCCAGGAGTAGGGGGAGTACCGAGTGAGTCTAGTGTGTAAGCCGGATCCTTCAGCCTTTGACGCATGGTCGCGACCGTCCAGCCTTCAATCCAAAAAAGTATTCAAACGTGATGACTTATGGAGGACATGCCAGTGCTGACGCTCTGCCTCCTCCAGGTAAGTCTCAGTATGGTCGTTGAAGGCGTGTGCACGACGAGCTGAAGTGCCTGTACTATGAAGGTATGACATGACGTGGTGAGTGTTGTCGTTCGCATGGATTTTTCTGGTGAAGGATGTCAGAAAAAATTGATAGACTCCAGACACGATACTCACTCGCAGGCTATGCATATATTCGACCCGAGTGTCAGGGTCCTGTCTGAAGAAGAAGTGGACATCGGCAGATGATTTAGGCAGTTTGACTCGGCCACCAGTGGCCAGAGGGTCGGTTAGAATGGTACTCATCGCGGTCTGCAGTGGACTATGGCCTGCAGCAGGCCCAACTGCAGGCGCAGGTGGGTTGACCACTTCGTCCTCCTCATCCCCAGAGACGTTCTCAAGGTGGAAGGATTCCCCGTATCTGAGGCATTTTCACGAAATCTAACGGGACGCTGACGATGCCTTTGAGGGTTACGAAGTATATTTGCATTCACTGCAGCAGCGATTGGAGCGGAGCAGCTGTGGGAGTACGGTAACAGCAATGGGAGTTGGAGTGATAGGAGCGGGAGGAGGATTGGAGGGAGAGGAAAGGGGAATTGGGGAGTTGAGAAGGAAGGGATAGGAGGAAATTGGATCAACGGTGGGGACAGCGACAGCGACTCTGGCAGTAAGCGGTGGTGTGATGATGTGATCCAACTA